ATAACTCTGATTTTTTTTGTGTGGTAACATTTTATATGACGAGTCGGTACGTTCTAGGTTCGAGTTGGCGGTGTTGAAAATGAAATAAAAAGAACAAAAAGTGTTTTTTATATTTAATTTTTTGGGTCGGCAATAAAATTAGGGTAGGTCGGGCGATGCGAAACACAGACAATAAATATGCTGCCCTAATACAATTATCGGGCCAAGTCGTAGATGCATCCAGGTTACTAGTGGAGATTTATCAGAACGTCTTTGGGCAGTGTTTTTTAGGTGTTTGGATCCTGTTCGTGTATGATTCACTTTGTTTATCTTTTCACAGGGTTAAACGATGTTTGTTGAGTTTTGCATATCATCGACTGTATTATTATTTGTTGAGTGCGAATATTTGCAATGATCCGTAAAACCTTTTTGTTGGTAAGTAAGTTGAACTTCGCCTTATTAATCTTTTTCAGCAATGATGTTGTGACAGTCAATTTTTCCCCTAAACGAGGTACTCCTCGAGTTCATATCCGACAGTCTTTCATCTATACTTTATATAACCTTGTCTCGCGAACACACAAAAGCTGTTTAATGTTCTGGCTGCGCAGAAGACTGTTGCGGTAGAAAAAGGCCTTTGAAACAACAACTGTCTGGCGGTGGCGGTGATTAAAGTAAATACCCCCACTTAAAAATAAACTGTTTTCCGAAACTCAGGTAATTATGTGTAAACATCGATTATAAGTGTGAAAACACCACGCATTGATTACAGGCAGCACTTACAAATAAGCCAAAGCTAAAATACAAAAGGACATAATATTTTTAGTAAGAAAACCATAAGTAAATATTGGAAGATCAATGAACTGTTTCACACTTAGGGCAATGCGTAAAAATCAAAGTTACAAAAACATTTTCAATTCACAAATATGATAGCAAACATGTGTAGGATGACATATATCAAATACATACCTTGTAAAAATAGGCCTACACGATCCGATATTCTTTAACAATTAATGTCAACATACTTGACCACTAGGACCGCCAGAAAGGGTGACCACTGTTTTTGAAAAGTAGGTCGCAGGTGTCAAAAGCCTATTGTTCAATGTAGGATATATTTCTAGTGGGACGCCAATCGATCTAGAGAGTTGCGTCCGTTGGTTTGGTGAAACTGAAGTATAAAAAATCAATTCGCAGGAAGACATACACCCGATGACCTAATACTATTTCCATACCTTACAATCATAGAAGATACAGAAGGACAGGGGTGACCACGGTGTATCGCATCTCGCTTTGCCGGGATCCTGTGAACGGAGGGTTCGAATCCATAGGACAAGAGAGGACAGGTGTTCCTTCTGACAGCCAAATATGTATCCCGGGTGGGTTATGGTTTGGGATATCTGTCTCTTCAAACACAGAAGTCCATCAGTGGGTCCACAGCACTTTATTCGTGGTCAAAATGTACAATTACATGATAGTGCAGCAACGGCCAGGCAGCATCACAGAGCCGATCGTCAGCCCACCTGCCTAGCCGCTGCCCGAGGGTCAAGTCCCGTTACATTAGAATTCATTGTCTATATACTACTGACTGTCAGGCAGCCTTGTGTCGCATTACGATACATGTATGGTCAGCCTGCAATGTCCAGCACCCCATCCCATGTTAAACTTCCGTAGCCGACCGGTTATACTGGGGATACTTAAGGTCAATTACACCCAGTTGACCTGTACATGGCTGTGCTGATGGTCATGATTATAAACTGCTGTTATTTCATTTATATTGACAGCACTGTGATTTAGATTAGGTAACACAACTTTAGCTTAACTCAGAAATTATACAAACATGTCTACACTAAACGGTTAAAGAAACGTTACCCCCCTTCCTTAATGACGGAGGTGCCTATCTTCAGCTGGCTTTGTGATGCCACTTCTTGGTCTGTCTACGGTGACCCCAGTCTGTCTGTAGCGTTGAATAAGTCTTATAACCGTGATACGGTGGCATCCGAGGGCGTTGGCAACATGTATGTCGATCCCATCTGCACCATCCCAATGGCTCTTTCTCTCGCTTCAGCCATTTCCCCGTACCCCAATGGCTCTTTACCCTATAGAATCTCTCTTCAGCTGTTAATCGTGGCATATTTCTCGTACTCAATATCAAAGACGCGTTTTACTTGTTTTCACTAATGCAAATCAGCAGAAAATGTTCTAAAAGATTGGAATTATAGGAATGATTCTTTTACAATTTTACACACTCTACAACAGTTGTTTCTTGTTTTTATAGTTGAAAAATGGTGACTTTAAATGGTTTATCTTGTCTCAAAGCAGAATTTTATTTCAACCTTTCAATCTAAATCACTGTTATTGGTTTATTTCGGCATGGTCGAAAATGGGACAATTTCACTCTTCTGAAAAATATGCATTTCACCCAAATATGAATGCATTTGAGAATTCTTTTCGTGATTTGCATAAAGCTGTGTTGTTAAGCTTTCTTGTAAACTAATACCTCTTAACATATCTTTGGTAGTTTTTAAGTAATTCATAAAGGTAGGAGGGTAACGTTTCTTTTGGCGTTTAGTGTACGTACATTCCCTGATAAAACCCATCTACCGCCAAGGTGCCTACGATATATGCATAATTTATATAATGCCTTTACATAGTAGAAGAAAACTTCTCCACTGAGTATTAGATTTTGCTCATTATGTTCATTTCATGATTAACAACTGCAAATAATGCATTAAAAATTCGTTGTCAAAGTTTAATGGTCGTTATGAAGGGTTTTCAAAGTTTGTGAACACAAACCTTTTACCGCACTCACAGAAATAGTAAAGTTTACTAACTTTGTGAATTAGCTTAAAGGGGCAGTCGGGTAGCTCGTCGATTCGAAAACCCGATTACCCATATCAGTACAATGTGTCAAGCATGTTTCTGGTGTCTTTTGATGTGATATTACTTCCTCACTTTCTCGTGTCAGTAGACTTTTCCTGCCAGTAAGTAAATATTTGACAATAAGAATATAAATTATGTCCTATCATAGATTAACTGATTCAGTTAGTAGATTTCCCTCTTCCTCTCCAGACAACACATTCTCCTCAGATTTTGCCACAGAGACAATAATCCAATTGACGTAATCATAATACTTTTCAAATATGTACTGTTCAAATAGGAATCTGCCAAATGCATAGCAACTTTCCAGTTTTTTGCAACAGGAACTTAACTAATATCTTCTTACTAAATATTCAGCCATTTTAAGCTGCAAAATCGATAATTTTTATACATATTGGTCATTATGCAATAACCTCTTTACTTAGTATCATCTAATCTCATGACGTAGTAAGTCGTTTCTACGTCACTTAACACTTCCTGTTGACATCTGATCAATACAGTTTGCAAACACACAGGCGAGAACATGTGATACTGTTTGTTTGTTGTCGGCAATATTCCAGCTATATGGCGGCGGTCTGTAAATAATTGAGGCCCGGCCAGACAGTCCAGAGATCAATAGCATGAGCATCGATCTAAGCAACTGGAATACGACGACATGTGTCAGCCAAGTCGCCTCTTACGACGACATGGGTTGCAGAAGGCAAATTCTAACCTGAGTCTTCACGGGTCTAATAACAAATGACGTAAAAGATACGCTGCAAGGAGTTTTGAGACATTTCAGGTTTATTTGCACAATACTATACAAAGTAACTATAGAATAAAGAAAATCAACAACAAATATTCTTTACATTAGCAAACCTCTGTATTAGTACATGCTACTAAATCAATAACAATGTCAGTCATGAAAACAACATTGAAAGGACAATATATACCTAACACTCTGGCTCGTAATCAGCGCCATGTTGTCTCAAAGTGACAGAAGTGACACCGACCACTGCGGAAGTAGTGAGTGAGTGAGTTTAGTTTAACGCCACACTCAGCAATATTCCACCTACACGGAGGCGATCTGTAAATAGTCAAGTCTGGACCAGACACTCAAGTGATCAACAGCATGAGCATCGATCTACGCAGCTCGGATACGATGACATGTGCCAACCAAGTCAGCGAGCCCGACCACCCGATCCCGTTAGTCGCCTCTTACAACAAGCATGGGTTACAGAAGACACATCGTAACCCGAGTCTTCACGATCCCGTTAGTCGCCTCTCACGATAAGCATGGGCTACTGAAGATCAATTCTAACCCGGATCTTCACGGGTCAATGCGAAAGTAAGCAATATCATGTGGTCTTGGCTTAGAAAAACAACATTCTCGCTGCTTTCTCACGTGTAGTCCACCAGATAAGATGGCATATCCACTGTGGATGTCTGGCTGCCATCACTAATCAAGGAAGTAGTATTAGCGAGACCATTTACTCACCGCAAATATCATTTACCACTCATTTTAGCCATACGAATCTATCTGATCATGCCAAAACGTGGACACCAAAAGTGTGAGAAGGTTAAAAGGATATTTGTAATTGAATTGTCTGGTACAAATATATACTGAGGGAAAAAATAAGGGAACACATGAAAGCACAAGTGTTCCTTTCTTCTTTTCCAGGTTTCTTCACAAGCGTTTTGTATTGCACTGTGGGTGAAAATCTGAGAATAATAAGAGGAATACTGTAATGAAGTGGCGTTCCCTTATTTGTTTCCCTCAGTCATTTAGCTGGAATATTGCAACTCGAAACAACAAAAGACAACTGGTTTTATAGATTTCCATGCTGGTGAGTCCAAGAACATGGTGCTGGCAGGTCACGCTTGGGAAGGATCAGGCAATCCAGGGTCCCGATCAGCTTAAATCTGGGCTAGTACAAGCAGCCGCACATACAAATACACACGCATGCACGTCGTCATATGAGCGAAATATTCTCAAGTACGACGTAAAACCCAATGTCACCTCAGTCATTAAACTGGAATATTGCAACTCGAAACAACAAAAGACAAGTGGTTTTATAGATTTTCATACTGGTGAATCCACGAACATGGTGCTGGCAGGTAACGCTTGTGAAGAATCAGGCAATCCAGGGTCCCGATCCACGAAGCGTTCGTAACGTTACGACTCTATAGTTTATCATAGGCTTACGAATGTCGTAGCGCTACGCACGTCTTGTGGATCGAGACCCAGAACGCTAACCTTAGACATGACTAATAACGTACAATGACTCTTTAAACCAGTCAAACAAAACAAGTCTTTTTTCTAAGTCGCTGCAGCTCAACATTTTAATCACGTCGTTCATAAAGCAGTTATTCTGAACACAGAAGAAGTGAAAGTAGTATCACCCTTATCAAGAATCCACTTCAGTCGTACGTTCCCCTGGGCGGGACTGGCTACAAGCGGGGCGTTAAGATTGCCCTGGGTGCAGTTGGTCGTTGGCGCGTACCACCAGCCAGCCGCCATCTTGGATGTACAGTTGTAACCACTGGAGTCGGAGTCGTAAGTAGAGAAGGGGGCGTTGTTAATGTTGTCCACGGCGGTCAAAGAGTTCCCGCACAGTTTGTTGAATGATGTTGAGTAATCACTGATGGTAATTTTATAGCCGTCTGTCTCGTTTCCAACATGGCAGCGGTCATAATACACCTGACAGAAGTCCGACTCGTACGTCATCATAATGTTACATTTCATGTCCCCTGCTGCAAATAAAAGACTGATGTGTTTCAGGCCAAGCCAGTAGTTATACCTCGGACGGCCAAATCCCTGTACGTACTCTTCCAAGGATCTGTTAAAGTCGACATAAGAAGCTGCCAACTTGCGAGACTGGATCACAGTCAGGCCGCCATGTTGAAATTCGCAGAGCACTTCAAATGGCTCTTCGGCACCATCTGGTTGTATGTAGGAGAGTTTTTCCTTCAGATTCTCAAGTCCGTGATTCTTGCCTTCACTGCAGTCTGGAAGAAAGATTAATGATGGTGTATTGTCTGCGGTATTCATGATGCATTAGCTGCGGGTCAAGGGCCCAGCGTAGGTCGATATCATTGACACTTGTGTACAATTTCAGGCAGAAGTATCTAATGCAACTTTGTAGTTGACATTACATGTAATTGGTTTTGCGAAAGGTGTACCAAGTTTTGAAAAGAAAACGAGCTTTGGACTCGGCTTAAGTATTGTTGTGGTCGAAGCCTACCGTAACCCTGGGAAAAGTTATCGTGGCGTGAAACAGTATATACAGTATAACGCCACATTGACATTAGTCTGTCTCACAGTCCCTGCATGAACCCCATTATTTTCCCCACTGCCAAGCCCTCTCTGCAGTGCTAAAGCCCTTAATAAAGCAAGTCTAGAGTTTCTGGTCTCCCTGGGGCTCCTTTTCAATTTAAATGGGCTTGTTTGTTACTATCAAAATTATATACAGAGACTAAGCATTAGTCTACATTGACATCTGTATGCCTCTCAAGATTCGCCACATTGATGGCAACAACATACTGTGCATATACACTATAAAGCTACATTTATGTCAAATACCATACACCGCCTATGTAGTGTAGTGGTTAGAGCGTCCGCCCGGAGAGCGGAAGGTCGCGGGTTCGATCCCCGATCGCGTCATACCAAAAGACGTTAAAATATGGTACTTGTTGATCCCTGCCTGGCGCTCGGCATTGATGATGGACTGGTCGGCTCGGAGTCAGTATAATGTGTGTGAGTGGGGTATTCATACTTCACTAACGTTACAATGCCGTCAAACAGCATTCTGTGTCATATACAATGACGTCAAACAGCATACTATATACAGTGTATAACGTTACAATGACGTCAAACAGCGTACTGTATTATATACAGTGTAAAGCCAAAATGACGTCAAACAGCATACTGTGTCATATACAGTATACCGTTACAATGGCGTCAAACAGCATACTGTGGTATATACAGTATACCGTTACAATGACGTCAAACGGCATACTGTGCCATATACAGTATAACGCGACAATGACGTCAAACGGCATACTGTGCCATATACAGTGTAACGCCAAAATGACGTCAAACAGCATACTGTGCCATATACAGTATACCGTTACAATGGCGTCAAACAGCATACTGTGGTATATACAGTATACCGTTACAATGACGTCAAACGGCATACTGTGCCATATACAGTATAACGCGACAATGACGTCAAACGGCATACTGTGCCATATACAGTGTAACGCCAAAATGACGTCAAACGGCATACTGTGCCATATACAGTATAACGCGACAATGACGTCAAACAGCATGCTGTGTCATATACAGGATAACGTTACAATGACGTCAAACGGCATACTGTGCCATATACAGTATAACGCGACAATGACGTCAAACGGCATACTGTGCCATATACAGTATAACGCGACAATGACGTCAAACAGCATGCTGTGTCATATACAGGATAACGTTACAATGACGTCAAACAGCATACCATGTCATATACAGTATAACGCCACAATGACGTCAATCCTAATATGCTTCGCTAAAAGATCAAATCACTTTTTATGACGTCACACTGTATTGACGATGCATGTCAGTTGTCATCACCTCGTACAGTCTCCTACAGTTAACTACTGCGTAGCACCCCTTTTCTGGGTTTGCAGTTGCTTCTCTCGGCTAACATCAAGCGTCCTCGCACTTTAACTATAATAGTTCAGTGCAAAAGTGTACTTTATTATACTACACATGGGGGTAGAGCGAACTACTTTAAACAGCACGATGTGTCATATACACGATAACGCCACAATGACGTGAAACCGTGTCGCTAAAACAACGCGTGGAACCATTGAGTCAAAATAAGAAATTGACTAGTCTATCAGACATAATGAGCAATAAATTATTATAATATAATTTATAATGATTATTTTGTGTGTGTTTGTTTTGTTGCTGTTTGACGCCGCATTCAGCAATGCCCTTACTGTGGGACTGTGGTTTAAACGTAATCGAGTCTATACAAGACAATCAAGTGATTATATAAGAATCAATCTAAGCGACGGGGAGAGGAAGGCGTATCCATCAACTAAGACAGAGATCCTTTCAGACAGATTACGTAAATGAAAGTGAACTGCATGCAACAACAATGATAATTGATTAAACGAGTAAAATGTCTGTCTATATACACACCCGTTAGATGCATTACATAACTAAGGAGTGTGGATATTACGCTGTGCACATCTTTGAGAAAAGAGGAAAGAGGATATGTTTTAAAATCCACTACGTGACTGAAAGACTGAATTCATTTTGAGCTGTTCCCCATGAAACATTAATCTTTAAACAACTACAATACCAATATTTCAGAATCCCATTGTAAGGTAACAGTACATTCTAACTTAATAAAGTACAAAAAACCCATTTGTGTGAGCGAGTTGATGCCTACAGTAAACATGAGGTAAATATCGGATTACCGTCATTGAACTAACTTTTCCCAATAACTGTTTGTCATCCTAAGTTTAGCGATTTCACTTGCTGCACTTCCTGGCCTAAGCGTGACGACAGTAAAGTTGAAGAAAAACATTAATGTATTGATTTGACAATCCATTTTAAAAGAGACCCCAACGGCGAACATTATTGAACCATCTAACCACTTTAAATCTAACATTTAAATATTCACCGACTAAATGAACGCGAAAAATTCTTTCTTGATCATATAATAATAATAATAGTCCATTTATATTGCGCGTTTAACGAGTACAGAACACTCCCTGTGGAGAATACAACCGGTCGCCTGTCAGGCGCTCAAGGTTCAAATTCAGACTACCATCGTATCATACCAGGTACCCAATTTTACTGCCGGGTGGACAGAGGCAATTTTAAACAAACTCACTTGCCTAAGGTGAGACCACATGCTTCACAAGTGCTTCGTTTTGGGGCAGGACTGAAGTCCTAGAAACTTTCAGGGGTCAAGCTGCCAAACACGGTCACCCATCCGAGGACTGTCCGCGACCAACGTTGCTTAACTTCAACTGATTGTGACCTGAGCTCTACGCACAGGACAACACACCTGTCATGCTGTTATAATAGACTCCTAGTATGATACCGACATCACAATGGCATGTTTGTTTGTTTGTTTGTTCTTTAACGCGTCACTCAGCTACATTCCAACTACATGGCGGCGGTCTGTACATAACTGAGTTTGGATCGGACAATCAAGTGCGTGTCAGCCCGATCTGTCGACAAATGAAAAATATGATAACCGACGACAGAATATAAAACCCGGAGTGTCGAAAGGGTTTTCCACAATCGATAATATCTTTGTTTTAAACATGTTGAAGAATTTGCTCAAAAAACGTAAACAAAAGTTATATTGTGCTTTCATTGACTTCTCTAAAGCGTTTGATAATATTTGGAGAGTCGGTTTGTGGCATAAACTATTGAAGCAAGGTATACATGGGCGGTTTTGACTTAATACAAAATATGTACAAAAACATTAAACCATGCGTATGTGCAAATAATAATTATTCAGACTACTTCCCAAGTGAGTGTGGTGTAAGACAAGGTGAAAACCTATCACCACTATTGTTTTCACTGTTCTTAAATGATCTTGAGTCACACATTTCTGATGATAAATGTGATGGTGTTCAGATCGAGGGTCTAGATGTGAATGTTGTTTTACACCTTTTCTCTTGTATGCAGGTGACGCAGTACTTGTTAGCCAAAGTCCTAATGGACTCCAGAGATTATTAAATTCGTTCCGTATGTATTGTGTGCAGTGGAAACTTGATGTCAATATATCCAAAACCAACATTGTAATATTTGGTGGTGGAGTACCTTCTAAATTCTAAATGTACATACACTCTTCCAAAAAAAGAAACGCATAGGGGGATTGAGATTTTTCTATTGCATTTTCATATCGGCAATCGATCTATAGACTATGTTTATGGTTGAATGATGTGATGTATGTGATTTTTAATGGTTATGTCGCGCAAACACAACCAAAAAAACTTAATGTAACAGTTGTAAGCAATTGTGAAGAAATTGCATGAAACTCGCGTGCAACGCACATGTTTATCACAGTGCACGTGAAATGAGTGGAATTCATCAGTAGAGATAATGACTATAAAAGCCCGATACATTTACTCCATTGTATCACAAATATTGATGAGGAATGAACAACGCAAAATGCCAAGACTGAATGCCGCTGACCGGAACACTGTTATTGGACGTCTGGAAGCTGGAAAAAGCCAGTCTGCCGTTGCACGTCATTATAACGTCCACCAAAGCACAATATCTCGTCTGTGGGCCCGTTATACAGCATTCAATTCGACGCGAGATCGCCCAAGAAGTGGACGACCACGAGTGACCACCCCTGCTCAGGATCCGGGTGTTCCACCTACGTCATCGGCAAGCCACAGCCACGGATACAGCAGGACATGTGCCAGGTGTACGTCGAGTATCCGACCAAACGATCCGCAACCGTCTGAGAGAGGCGGGACTTCGAGCGAGACGCCCTATGGTTGGGCCTGTGTTGCGCCGTCTACATCGACGTCGACGTCTACCGTTGGTGCACCACCGTACAGCCCTGGAATCTGGCTAACTGGAGGAGAATCTGGTTCAGTGATGAATCACGGTTAATCCTGCAACACCATGATGGAAGACAACGTGTGTACCGACGTAGGAATGAACGTTACGCGCCTAACGGCGTACGACAGGTCGATCGCTTCAGTGGGAGAGTGTTATGATGTGGGGTGGCATATCATACACCGATAGGACCGACTTAGTGCTGGTTCAGGGGAATCTAACTGCAAACCGGTACATCAACCAGATTCTTCGTCCACACGTGCGTCCCATCATCAACCGCCAGCGAGAGATCTTACAGCAAGATAACGCCCGACCCCATACGGCACGTGTGACAATGGCCTACCTAGCCAATGAGAACATTAATGTCTTGCCATGGCCGTCCAGGTCCCCAGACTTGAACCCCATAGAA